CATATTGTGTCACATCAGAGACAGAAAGACCGCATGCCCTTGTTGACACACGACTTGGGAAAGCAAGCATTTAATTACACCATTCTTTTGATGAGACTGCATTTAATGCGGTAAGGCTCGGAAGTGAAAAGCAATAAATGTCTCTAAGGCTAGACATTTATTACATCCTCCCCGAGAGGAGCTCATTGAATAGTCAGAAGGCCGATGACATAGCCTTGGTTGCTCGGGAGCCCGAGCAGTTAAAAAGAGAAGACATTCCTCATAGGAAACCGTGCACACGTTGTCTGTGCCTAATGATCACATACTGGCCACACTGACAGCAATCATGAGTTTTTGAGGTATAAATACTCATCGCAAAAGGCAAGGTGGGGGGCAATGAAAAACCTTTGCTACAAATTATACTCAAGTGTTTTCTTCTTCCTCTCTCTCAAAAACTGACTTGATTGTCGGAGGAGATACGCCGAAAAATACTCTGGCGCCCTTCTAACTTGTCTTTCTTTGTTCCAAGAACCTTCCTCAGCCTTACTGGATCGTTCCATTGATCCACGAGGGTCTCCCATTATCGTTCTAGGTTACCACCAGACCTCACAGGCTGTTCCAAGCAACAGGGGTTGACCATTCGACTGACTCACTCGAGTTCACCAAGGGAGAGATCTATTCTCGTGTTTATATTGCGCAAGATCCAGCACGCACAGAAAGAATTTGGGTTTTCATCGATATCCAGATCTTCAATCTGATTGTTTGACATTGTTTCAACTGAATTTCCATGGGGGTTTTCAGAACTCAGTTGCATTTTGTCAAGATGTTCCTGAAGCAAACCCTCTACTCTCCTTTGCAAACTTAGGGGTATAACCACCAGCACAAATGGGTCAAAGCTTTCCAATCCTTACATGCTTAATGAGGTATGCCTGCCCCTCTCCCTCTCTCTCTCTCTCTCTCTCTCTCTCTCTCTTCAAAGTAGATGATTTTGTTGAGGTTTGTGATGACTTTGTTCACCTAGTGAAGCTAAAACTTGATTTTCTTGATTTTGAAAGTGAAAGTTTTAGAAAAATTGTGTTTGGGTTTCAAGAGAGTTGGGAATTCTGAATTATATTGTTGTTAAAGGGTCTCTATCAGTTGAGTTGCATCAAATCTTTGAAAGAGTACACATCAAATGATTTATGGGTTAGAATTTCAATCATGCGTTCTTTTCATCGAGTCTGGCTTGAAGAATTCAACTAAACCAATTCCATCAAATTCAAAAACGCATAACATATAAAATCACACCCAAACACATACATACATATGGAATAGATATACTAACCAGTGGGGTACTTGGGTTCCTCTCTTACTTTTCTTCTTAGCAGAATCTGGAACAAAGAACAGGTTTTAATGACTGATCTGATTTTAAGTTGCGCTAGGGTTTGATTTGAGAGGTTAAGCGCCGGATTAGCATTAGTTAAATCGATTTAGGGCAAAATTCGATTTTGGGCAAAAAATATTTAGGGCAAATATGGAGAATGGAGAATGGAGAAACTGCTCAGTCGATGGTGGAGGCTGTGGTCAGTCTCTTTGTTTAAGTCGATGGTGGAGTATGGTGGAAGTCGCTAGGTGGAGCTCGTCGGAGTCTTGTCTGGCTGAGACTGGTTGAGGAAGAGGAGAGCTAAGTGGTCTTACGAATAAGTGGTCTGAAATTATTTAGCCTCTAATGTGAAATTTAAATGGCGTAACGTTAAAATGCAAACGACCTTTTTAAACACGTCATTTAAAATAACGTTTTATGCCTTTTATTTTTTAAACGTATGTTAGGGACTCCGTTAAAAATTCTTATTATAAAACGTTATTACGAATGACGTTTTTAAAATCATCATTCTTAATGACGTTTTTGAAAAAAAAAAATTCAACTATACATCGTCAATTTAAATAATGTTTTTAGGTGAGAAAAATATTATTTTAAATAATATTTTTAAAAAAAGACTGAATTTGAGAATTAAATTTAAAAGTGATTTAGAAATGAGATTATATTTTCAAGGCCATGAGTTTGGGAAAACCTCGGAGGGCAACTATTCGGCCAATCAGATCAACATTGGAATCGGTTAGGTGTACAGAGGAACAGAGGGAAGAAGTCACGCGTTTGGTGGTGAGCCTTCAGTTTAGCGTGTTTGGTGGTGGGCCCCACTTACTGACTTACTTGGACTTCCAACGCTGCTGGAACTGGAAAAACTGGACAGTGGTGGGGTCCAGACTCATATCTCTCACGGAGATGGAAGGCAACGATGGAATCTACTATTAATCCAGAAATATTAGTAGATTTAATTAACAAATTTGATCAATTTAATCTGAATATTATTATTGTAAGGGTATAAATGAGTGAAAATTCAAGAATTAATCATTTTAATGCAATTTAAAATATTTGGAATATTTTTTTTTTGGTGAATTGTATTATTTTTTATTTACAAAATATTTAAAAATTACAAAAAATTGGAGATGACAAAATTCAAAATCATGACTTTAAGAATCAACAATAAAAATGGTGTTATTAAATTAACTGTTAACCTCCAAAATACTTAGGAACTGTTTGTTTCGAGTATAAGATTTAGATGATATAAGATTTTATATCTATTCCATTCCGATCCAATAATATATTATACCCAGTCTTAAACTATAATCTCATTCTTCCCCTGGTTTGTTTGTCACAAATATAATTTGTGTAATACCTATTTAAAAAAATCAATAATTGTGACTATGACCCGTAAAAAGACAATTGTAACCTTGTAACCTTAAAAAGACAATTGTACATGAGAGTAGTTGCGTCTTTTTACTCTATTATACCTCAATCTTATTTGTATTGGACATATAATACCATCGGGCAAGTGGTATTCATTAAGACCATTTACAAAACATTATGATTACTATTCATAACAGGTCAGTATTACGATCCAAAAAATAGTACTGACTATAAGATGCTAAATAAATAAAATATAAGATAGATTCCACGTATTATTTCTTTAATACCACCTCCTTATCCAACTTTATTCCTTAAAACAAGCTAGCCCTAGAATTAAATAGAGCTAAAAAGCTTGTGTAAAAGGCCCACCTGCCGGATTAGAAACGTGCCAATCCGAAATCAGGATAAAAGCCTAAGATAGCTTCGGACTAGTATTTCCACTTGGTCCAAATCCAAGCCCAACTTGGTAATTTTAATTTGGCAACCCTTTAAGATTAGTGACTATATAAAAGAATTATAAATTCATAACAGAAACGAATTATAAATTTATATATCATAAGTTTGAAGTTTAAAATTTTTTTTATGGCCAGACATGAATTATTTTGTCTCGGTGTGGAGTGATAAGACCGAGGATGTCAAGTCCATGACTTGAATCGAAAAATGAATTAGTTGTAATCCAATAAAAGCAACTCGAATACACTGAATGCAATATGTAAAAAAAGAGAGAAATTATAAGTTATTTTTTTCTAAAAATATCCAATAAGACCTTTTTTCGTTGCCTAAGTTTCACCTTGGAAATACCCTAAAAGAGAATTTTACTTTAAAAGAAAAGTTTAGAATCGAAACAAATTATAATATTTATGAAATTTAGGACTTCATTATATAAACTATGATAAATTTCATTGACAACCCTTGAATTTAAGCCATATTATACTGACACCTCCTCTAATTGTACACTCCTATAATTTATATACACAATTCACAAACTACACTGCTGTCTAATGTCGTTATTGACAAGCAAAAAAGTGTGATGTGATGATTTATGCTCTTATGAATTGCCAAATTTATCCCGACCATATAAAACAAGTTTAAAGTAGTATTAAACATCCTTTTAATATTAATTAAATTAAATTAAATTAGGATTAAATAAACTATATCGTGTAAAGAAAATGTATAAAATAAAATGTTAATTTTTAAAAATAATATTAATTTGATAAAACTAAATTTTAAATATAAAATGTTAATTTTATAAAATTAAATGACCATTTGATTTTGATTTGATGAAATTGAATGTTAATATAAAATTCAATAAAAAAAATGATGTTAGTTTGATAAATTTGATGTTAAATTAATGAAATTAAATGTTAATTTTGAATTAATTTGATGAAATTGATTTGGGTAAATTTGATGAATATTAATTTGGTGCTAATTTTATAAAATTGAATTTCGATTTGATAAGATTGGATATTAGCTTCCTGAAATAAAATAATAATTTTATAAAATTTAAGATCAAGTTCACGTTAATTTAATAAAAATGTTGTATTAATTTGATAAAATTTAATGTTAATTTAATAAATTTGATAGTTAATTTGATATTAATTAGATTAAATTGAATATTAATTTGATGAAGTTTAATGTGGTGTAGATTAAATAGAATGTTAATTTTATGTAATCGAATATTAATTTGGTATTAGTTTAATAAAATTGAATGTTAATTGGATGAATTGAATGCTAATTTGATGAATGTGAATGTGAATTTGGTAAAATTTAATGTTTAGTTGATAAAATGTAATATTAATTTGGTTCTAATTCGATGAAATTGAATATTAATTTAGTGTTAATTTGATAAAATTTAATATTAGTTTGATAAAATTAAAGGTTAATTTGATAAAATTATAGATTAATTTTGTGTTAATTTGAGTAAGAATAATTAAATAAAATAGGAGTTCTAGTGAGGATAATTTTGTAAAATTACATATTATGTTTAGGTTAGTGATATTTAAAAATTTAGAATATATATTAGTGAAATATGAATTAAATCTCGAGGGTGTAAGTGAATTTTAACCTATAAAATAAAAATAATAATAGAAAAAGTAATATTTATTAATAATTTGTCAAAAAAAAAAAAAAACTCGCAACTGTCTTGTCACGATCCAAGCATTTCTCTACTTTGGAAATATCCACTGCACTTTCCTGTGAAAGTACATCCTCCCTTTCTCTCACAATCAGTCGTTTCAGGCTTTTCAGCTACTACTTCATAGAAGGTAAACCTATCCTTCGCTGTTCTTTCCGTTTTCTCTCTCTAAATTCGATTGGCATATCTACGCATATATAGCGACCCTGATCGATATACTGTATTGAATTGTAGGAAAGAAAGAGAAAATTGTGAAAGTTGTCGTTGCATGACGAGCGCATCGGAGCTATTCTACAACAGGAGGTCTCGTTTGGGTCGAATCACCAACCCAATCGACCTAGGCGGAGGTTTTGTTTCCTCTATCGGTCGAATTTCTCACCACAACCCCAACAATCGTCGCATCGATTCTCGTCGTGATCGACACAACGTGGACGGCTCTGATCATCTCCGGCCGTCTCCTAATCTCAGACATCACTCTCATCGCACCCCTCCTTTTGTAAGTTCCAAATGTTTTAGTTCATTCATAGACGTGTTTAGTTATGCTGTGTTGATTGATATTTGTTGATTGATATTAGCCTCTGTTACTTCAATCTGCCCTTGACAGTCAAAAAAGGAGGTCGTAATAATCGTTCACATTCTCTTCTGCTCGTGAGAGGCCCAGCTAGTAGCACACTGGTTTTTCATCATTTTGATTTTATCTCGAAGTGTTTCCTACTTGTTTTGCATCTAATTGGGTTCACGTGTGGTTGAAGTGATGGAAAATTTATTCAGTATGAAATCCCTGCGAGTTGCTACTGTTTCTATGCAAATGTTGCTCTTTTCGAAGCACTTATTATGAGTCATTAAAGAGAATGAGACGATTTTATACTCATCCTCGTGTTGTATTTTAGCATATCCAGGAGCATCACCCAGTTCGTCTCGATCAAGTTAGCAGCCAATCTGCTTCAGGCAACACTTTCACCTCAGAAAATATTGGTGGCATACATGCGAGACAGAGGTATAGTGGGAATGACAGGCTTCCTGGAGCTGTGATACTTGCGAGGGAAAGGCTTCTTCAGAGATTAAGAAGTGTTTCCCAGTCTGGAAACAGGTCAGTGCTCTCAGAACATACGAGTTTTCAATTTCTTCAAGCTTGTTAATATTTCAACTTCTGTGATTGCAAATTGGACTGTGTCCGCTAATTTGATTTTTTTGTACAATATGTGGACAAACAATTGGTTTTCTAAAATGTAAGACCAATGACTATTATCATTTCAGGAATTGAAATGTTAATCAGCTTGTTGGAAGATATATACTTGTTTTTGGATTGCAGTGAATGGGTACTTGAAATCTTGAAATAAGAGGATCTTTTCTTGAAATAAAGTTGTAGGCTACTTCCCAAACGTTTTCCTGAAAATGGGTGTCTCAATTTTATGGGCTGTGGCAAGCAATAGTTACCTTGCTATATGTGCTTTCAAAGTCACTTGAATCCTTAAATTTCTCTTCCCTCACGTGTAAATCAAACTTAGGGTAAATTGGATGTTTTTTCAATTTTGGGCAGGCAGAGCAACCGAGCTTCATCAGGCATTTCTCGCAGTGACCTCACCGTCAGTGATGACTTTAGGCTTGTTAATGCTGATGACTGGGAGACTGAAGTATCAGGGGACTGGCTAGCTGGAATCACTCCCCTCCCTCGCTTGAACTCTCAAATAGACCAGCTACTTGTTGTGCAAGAAACAACGAAGAGAACGCTGGGACTCAGTCAAGAGGCCCTGGACTGTCTGCCTGTGGAAGTTTTCAGAACAGAAAAAGGTGATGGAGGAACAAAATTAATGATGTTGCGGGACTGTAGTATATGTCTGGAGAATTTCCTGGAGGGAGATGAGCTCATATGTTTACCATGCGGGCATAAATTCCATTCCTGTTGCTTGTATCCCTGGGTTCGGACTTGTGGTGATTGTCCATATTGTCGAACAGGTATATTGGTAAATAGAGCAATAAAAGGATCTTAGTATCTTTTATTGAGATTTCAGACATGGGTTTTCTCTCTGTTGGCGGAGTTTTGGGACTTTGACCAGTTAGTGAGGTTGATGTTTCGTGACTCGTGCCTCTATCCTTATGTTTTGTGGTAAGTTATTACATGATCAAACGTTATTGAAAGTTTACTATCCTTTCACATTTTTGTATCTCAATCAAAAGAATAAAGTTTTTTATGGAGTATGTTTTTATGACTTGGGTTTTTTTCCTCGTGGCATTTTAACCAAATAGAAGATATATTCAGTACCTAACTTGTACTATATCTTGAATCTAGTTGTAAACAGGGCATGCAAGAACACAACTATATCTTTTGTCCGTTGGCTTGTCACTGTTTCTCCGTTGGTTGTATGTGAATAATCTCAGGTAGCAATGTAGAAGTTGTTTAGGTGTGTGTCTGTGTCTTCAATATGTGAAAGGAAATTTCTTGTTCTTTCTAGCTTGCCGGAATGGTTTTGTTTCTGGAATTGCAATGGGCGAGCTTTTCTCGAAGCGTGGAGAGGCTCCATGCGAAAATGTTATATAGGCCTATTATTATTTATTCAATTATAACAGTAGTATTAAATATTTATCAAAATATGTTTATTTAATGGCTTAATTCAAGAGACAGCTTGTCAAAGAGAGTGAATGTTTCTTACTGTTGTCGATCATCCCGCCGTTCCAAAGAAATGTAAGAGATGACCTTTTTATAACTTCTTATCCGGCCCTTTGCTCCTATGTTTACTAGCACCAAGTTGTCTCATTAAAATAATTCAGTTTCTAACAACTTTTTTTAAAACTATGTTTTTTTCTGGTCTCTTATCGATCCCAATTCCTTGGTATGGAGCCACCTTCTTCACCCAACTTTGTTTTTACCATGTTCATCCCTTGAAACATGGCGATAAAAATCACATCTAGTGACCACTGCAGTATCGATATTCTAGCTTCGAAAAATGATTTGTTTTGTCTTTTGAGATACAACATGCTAATTAAAATTTTAAATTCAAAATTTGAAAATAAAAATTGATTTAATCAAAATCAAATGCGGAGATTAAATGTAATGATACAAGTTATTTTGTTTAAGATAAAGAGGAACATAATTGAAAATTACTTTAGTTAATAAAATAATTTTTTTCTAAATGAATATAAAAATAGAAATTTATAAAAGTTGAATGGTCCTAAAACAAATGAGACAATTGATGGATACTGTAGTGAAACATGGCTATTTTTAAATAATAAAATTTAATATGGCAACTATGGTTAATTAATTTCAAATACTGCACTATTATTACTCACTCTATTTTATAATCATCTTGCTCATTATAAACAAAGTAATTAAAAATTAACCTCAAATTTAACTTATAGTAATGTAAAATTCTTATTCATACATATTATATGATAGACAATTGATTTTATAATAAGACTGCAAAATGATAATACATATTATATAAACATCAGATAAGGTAAAAAATTAGATTGAACTCTAGGGTCGTAACTTTTGTTGAAAGAGGTTTCAAAATTTTTACAATAATGCTATTTATACTTAATTTAAGAACTAAGTACATTAGATAGATAGTTAACTCTGTTTAAAGTTAACACTCCTTGCTAAATTAATGGTTAAAATGCATTGAATATTTAAATTATTTCCTAAATTTTAGATTATATACCATTATTTTTTGGACTTGATTACGGCACCTAAAAAAAATTTTGGTACCATATCTCTAAATTTATATTTTAATATGTATTTTTATAATTTTTGTGGATCATTTTACAGTAAAATTTTTTATCATTTTTGTGAGTATTTTTTCTACTTTTGTGAGTAAAAAAAATTATCACTCTTATGAGTGATTTATTATATTTGTGGGGTATTTTTTTTTTATCATATTTGTGATTATTTTTATTATTATTGTGATAATTATTTTTATTATTTTTTTAAGTATCATAAAAATAATAAAAATATCCTTAAATACGATAAAAATAACCACACACATAAATGGAGGTATGATACAAAAAAAACGCATTCGTTTTTTCTCTCTCGGAATGAGAGCTCTCCCCTAGTTTAGGATTTTTCTGAGATTCCATTCTCATACGTCCTTTCCTTAGTGCATACGTAAACCTTTGTGTATCCCAAAATAGTGAGAGTTGTTGGCGATTCCAAGGAGGATCGCTTCATCTTCTATTTGTCATTTACTTCCCTCTTCCTGCTGTACACTCTACCTACCAACCCATTTACTTCTCTTAGTCTGAGTCATATTCTCTCAAAGGGGTTCCTTTCTACTACCCAGCGCCATTTAGTTCTACGAAACAGAGGTTCTCATCAAAAAGATCTAGAGACTGTAAAGCCCTAACGACTACTCACATCCTTCCCCCCTCTCTTCTGTCTTACCCTCTCACCATACTCCCTTATCCCTGCCATTAACGGCTAAAGCCGATTGACAAATTGTTTCACCATAAACGTCCATCGAATCAGTCTACATAAAAAAATGGACAAAGGTGTCAACTCTTCGGTCTTTCAAAGACTACATAAAAATGCTCCATTGGTCTTTAAAAGACCATAAAGAAAAAAAGGAGGCTTAACGCTATTCCACTGGTCTTTCAAAGACCACAAAAAAATGATGATGAGTAAAGATATATCACATTGGTCTTTCACAGACCAATTAAAAAAACAGTGAGGTTTTTAGTTGTTGATTCTCAAGACTCAAAGAAACCATAAAAAATTCGGTCATTAAAAGATCATAAAAAAAAAAATATTTTTGCTGGTCTTTGAAGGACCACATTAAAAAATACGTCTAGAAGACACAAAAAAAAGAGGGGGGGGGGGGGGGGGCGCTTGGAATTCAAACAAAAAGACATCTCCATGAAGCATCAACATGCGATAATAAAAACAAACACATGTTTCGGCACAAACATAAAGATTTGATTTCTGGCAAAAAAAAAAAACATGAGATTTTGATTTTCGGCAAGAACAAACAAAACTCATCAACATCTTTAGTCAAAAAAAATTTGTTAAGGGTACGTACACGTGCAAAATTACATCCCACCTCAGAAAATTTCCTATTTGTTTATCTTCAAATAAATTTTGGTCTTGAAAAGACCTACGATGAAAAGAACTAATTTACTAATTTTTAAAAAAAAATTCGGGTCTTTGAAAGACCTAAAAGAAAAATTGGTTTATTAGGTTCTAAAATAAAAAAAAAAATCTATAAGGACCATTGATAGAACAGGTCTTTTGAAAGACCTTCAATAGTTCGCATATTGTAACAAATCAAAAAAAAAAAATTCATTAAAGTGAGGAAAGGGTTACCTGAATGATTTAGAAAAGCAAGTCATGTTCAATGAAGGAGAAGTAAAATCTATCTGTGGGCCAAGGTAGAGATTATATTAGATAAGGCCTCCTACTCGGTATAAACCTCTAACCAAAATAGGTGCATTATTTGAATTTTAAAATTCAAATAAAAAAAAAGGATTTTGAAATACATATAAATTTCATGGAGATAATCTATTTTTCGAGTGTCATACGTGATTTTGAAATTCACATACGACACTCGAGGGGCAACTGTTAAACGAAAAAAATTCAGTACTCGTCAATTTTCGATGCTAAATTTTATTTTAAAAATCAATGATGGATTCATGTTCGACGCATGGTTCCATAGAATAATTAATCGTTAACTTGACTCGTCAAGTTCAATTGTTAAAATTCACATTTTAATTTAACCCATTAAAATTCATCCTTATGATTTTTTATTTTTTATTTTAAAAAAAAAGTGTATGTTGTAAAAAAAATAAAAATAAAAAGCCGAGAATTTAACGGTTGGCAGTTCCCAAACTCCCCACTACATCAATTAAGAGGAAGTGGACAAAGTGGGGGTTCCTAAAAAGATTGCCAGCTGCCCCCTCTTTTTGCATGCAAAAGACTATTATAAATACACTTGATCTTGAGATCAAGAAGGTGGAGAAATCTGGAGAGTTTCAGACGGTGAATAAAGCAAGAGAGAGAAGAAAAAAAAAAGAAAGAAGAAAAGAGAAAAGCTAGGAGTGTTTCCAGACGGTTAACAAATGAAAGGACAAAAAAGGAAGAAGAGATGAGGTCGGCAAGAGGAAAGAAGTCTCTATATTTTATCTTCTTTGCTGACGACTCTCTATTTTTCCTCAAAGCTAAGGAGAGGGGAGTAATGGAATTATTGAGGATATTGCATAAATGTTGCATGACGTTGGGGCAATATGCCAATTACTAGAAGTCTGGGATTATTTTCTCCAGTAATACATTTGAGGAGTAAAAGACTTTCTTTTGCCATCTCCTGGGCATACTGGCTCTCCTACATTGTACAAAATATCTGGGAATCCCTATTACTTGGGAAAGATCAAGGAACGAAGTGTTTGGGTACCTTTTTGAGAGAGTTACGAAGAGATTACAGGGATGGAAGAGTTGTTGTCTCTCACAGGCTGAGAAGGAGATACTGATCAAAGCAGTAATCCATGCCATTTCAAATTATGTCATGTCAGTAGTGGAGTTCTCAAGTAATTTTTGTGTGAAGATCAATTCCTATGTAAGAAGCTTTTGGTGGAGAGGATGTGAAGATAGAAAGGGTATCTACTAGAGGAAATGGGAGAAGATGACTGAACCAAAGTCTGTTGGAGGGATGGGCTTTAAAATTTTCAAGTTGTTTAATCAAGCTCTCTTGGCAAAGCAGTGTTGGAGACTCATCCATCAACCAAAGTCTTTCTGGGCAAAATTCATAAAGGCGATTTACTTTCCAAACGATAACCTGATGCAAGCAAAACGAGGTGCGAGACCCTTCTGGTTTTGGACCAGCTTGCTCTACAGCAAGGAGCTTCTCGAAAAAGGTCTGATGTGGCAAATTGGTGATGGCAGTGGGGTGTGTTTTTGGAATGATAAATGGATTCTCCAACTCCCCAATTTGATTGTTCAATCCCCAAGGCCTTAGGTATGCTCTATTATAAAGGTTGCAGACATTATTAGTGCTTTCCCCAAAAGCTGGAACATCCCTAGTCTGGAAAATGTAATCTCAAGGAGTGAATTGAAAGTAATCTAGGCTATCCCTTTGCCATTGAATGGGGGGAAAGATAAAAGAATTTGTTGGCCCACATGTAAAGGTATCTATACTGTTAGGTTTGGGAATATGGTGGGAAGCAAGGAGGCCTTTAATCTGTCGGAGGTTAGTTATTCCGTGTCTCTTCATCCCAAATTGTGACAGTCTATTTGGAATATGAAGGCAATTCCTAAAGGTAAGCACTTCTGGTGGAAAACTTGCCATAACATCCTTGCCACACATGAGAATCTGTTTAGAAAGAAGTGTGCTGCAACGCCTATTTGCCAGATCTGCAAGTTGGCAACAAAGTCAATTGAGCATATCTTATTTGAATGCGGATAGACCAGGAGGGTCTGGTTTGGTATGGACCCTGCTTTGCAGGAGAACGACTTAGCTTTCTTGTTTGTGGCCCAAAGATCCACTGCCATCTTCTGTTGGTAAAAGATGCACAAAGTAGACTTGAGTTACTGGGGAAGATGGCCACAGTGGTTGGATAATTTGGAAGGCAAGAAACAAACTCATTTTCAATAAGAAGAGGTGAATACCTATGCCACAGTGCTACAAGTCAAGGCTACGTGGGGAGACTAGCTCAAAATCGATGAAACGGGATCACCAGAAGGTCAGCAGGAGTTAGAGGCAAGAAAGACAACTCCACATGAGACTAAGGAGGAATATCGCATTTTTTGTGATGGTGCCTTCAAATCTGAAGTGTCAAAGGCAGCATATGGAGTTGTTCTTTGCAAGAGCAGAGGTATTTTGGAATTTGGTATAGCCAAGGTCTTCCCTGCTGCATCATCTCTATTGGCGGAGGCTGAGGCAGTAAGGCAGGCTTGACTACTCATTGAAGCCTAACTGATCACTCAGACGACTATTGTTAATGAATGTCTTAACATTATTAAGTTAAACTCCAACGAGGATGTGCCCCCGTGGAAAATTAGTGTAATTATAAAGGATATTAGATATTATGCTAGGTCATATAGCTTTAACTTTTTACACAAATCAAGGACCTATAACAAGGTTGCTCACTGGATGACGGCCAACAAGTTAAACAACTCTCTTCCAACGGATTGATTAGGGTCCCCCCTTCCTAAGTTTACGATTTTTCTTGTGATTGATTGTAACTTTAATTTTCTTATTTAATAAAATGATTATTTTGTTTGTTATAATAAAAAAAAATAATAATACCAGAATCAACTCCTTTTATTTTTCAAGCTTAAAAGTTGGGCCGGCACTAGAATCATCCTGTCTTTGTCCCCTCCTCGCCCGACCGTCTCTGTGTTTTTGTTCACCATTGCATATCAACCGGGCTGGCATTCGTCACACAGCTCAAGCTCAAGCTCATTTATCAGGTAAATCCGCCATTGCGGAAAGTTCAATCATAAAAACACAAACGTTCAAGATGTTCAGGCCAATTCAATTGTAAATTTTTTTAGAGTCTACTTTGAGGGCCGTCTCGAACTTGCCGCACCCAATAAAAAAAATTGTAAAATTAATTATAATTTTTTTAAAAAATAAGAATTACAGGATGTGATTAAGTACTCCATTTTTAATCAAAAACTCACTATATTTTAGAAGTGTCAAAAATTGGCCACACAAAAGTACACCGTTTGTGGGGTTTGGACCTAAATAAACCGTAAACTTGAATGTCAAAAATTCAAACCTCGTTGGTATCTCTCGAACTAAAAATTTAACCTTGTAAAAAAAAGAGTAAAAAAGAGAGCCACAACTCATTGATCCATAGTGCTGGTACATCATTCTTGTATTCCCAAAGTATTTCTATATGGGATAATCCCATATTCGAACAATCACAAAGAAGTCAGGAATTCAACTCTCGTTAGTGTTTTTTAAAATAAAAATTTAACCTTTTTTAAAAAAAGAGTATAAAAGAGGGCCGCACCTCATTGATCCATAGATGAAGTGCCAGTACATCATTCTTCTATTCCCAAAGTATTTCTATATGGGATAATCCCATATCCGAACAATCGCGAAGAAATCAATCCAAAAAAAGACACTTCTATTTGGATTCTTATTATGTTTGATTCGGAAGCATACAATTGCCAACCATAACCAATCACATGAATTATTTAACCCATTTTAAATGAAATACAAGAAGATTAATACTTAGTGCTTTTTCAAGTGATTATATATATCTCAGTTCTACTCTTGTAAATTAGTCCAAATGACTCTACCTTGAAGAGATTTTTTGTTACCAAAAAAAGAAAAAAGAATGGATGCATGGTTGCAAGTTAATTTAATCTATATATTAAGAAAAAAAATATAAGATTTTGGGTATTTATTATTTATTTTTAATCGTGAAAGAATTTGGTTGACAATAATCCCATTGCAAGATTAGACTGTCAAACAACTGTTTGAAGCTTAACAACAATTACAATTCTATGGACTTTGGCCAATGGTAATTAAAACTTTGGAAATGTCATTCTAGCCACCCCATTTTTTCAGTCTAGTTTGACCTTTGAAGTCTTCATTGACTACTTATCTAAAATCAAAATGTTAGAAAAACTTCATTCTTTTCCTATTATTGTATTGCATTGATGATTATACTTTTTTTATCCTTAAAGTACCACTCAATTTTCAGTTTGCTATTTTAATTATTTTGTATTAAATTTTATTTTCCAACCCTTGTCATAGTGTCAATTTTAGTCCAAAAAATAAGAGAGTCATGGAAAAATAAATGCGACGTCTTTTCAAGATGAAGTGTCACACTTGATTCATATTTGTCATTTTTATGTCGATATTTAGAAGTTAGTTATTTCCCTCCTCAGACTCTTAAAGTTTGCTAAATTTTGTATTTTATATTATAAGTTATAAAATACGGTAAAATAAATCACTCAAAATATCATCATTAAACAACCATAAAAGTGTATTTTAGAGTTAAAATACTTGGAGAACGAGTTTACGATTATCACCCAAAAAAAAGAAAAAACAAAAGCACAGAAAAAAAAAAAGGAAAGAAAACAAAAGCACAAAGCTTTACAGAAGGGGAACTATGGTTTTCATTTGAAAAAATGAAAAGAAAGGAAAAAAAAGAGAGTCTTTTTCCTAATTTTTAATTAGATAATCTATAGGGGACGGCAGAGGTAAATTAACTAGAAAAATGGGGTCCTGGTATGAAATCAAAAACTTCATAAACGCGTAGTATGAAACTGGCAATGACGTGACGTTCAGTCTTCTTCTCACGCGGCGTCTCCTAGTCTTCCTCCGTTACCTATCTCCCCCGTTACGCCCACTCAGCACACGCTCTCTCTCTCTCTCTCTCTCACACACACACACACTCACACACGTATAAGCCTCAAAGCCATTGCAAAAAACACAACCAATTACCTTACCGTTTACACTGTCACCATTTTCACAGGCAGATATAGAGAGAAGATCGAAGATGTTACGATCGTGTTGCCGACCGTTGGAGAGATGTTTTGGGAGGCGGAGCGGTGACGGACTGTTTTGGCACATGGATTTGAAGCCTCACGCTTCCGGAGACTTCTCGATCGCCGTCGTTCAAGCCAATTCGAGCCTCGAAGACCAGAGTCAGGTCTTTACATCGCCGTCGGCTACGTATGTCGGAGTCTACGATGGCCATGGTGGCCCCGAAGCTTCTCGCTTCGTCAACAAACACCTATTCTCTTATTTACAAAGTAATAATACTTTCTCGCTCTGTAAAGTTTAAACCCTAGCATATCACGTACAGATGTGATATGAAGTTTTTAAATTTGCTCTCTGTGCGAATTGTTTCCTTGCCGATCATGAATTTTCGAAACTGAAAACGTTTATCTCTTTGTTCACACTCTCTTCGTGTATGTGATATTTTCCCTCTGTTTAATGCTTGCTACAATTTTTTACGAATTTAGGAATTTTCAAAATGTTTCTCGCTGACGTTATTGATTAAGCTATTTACCTGTGTGTTTGCGTGTGATTTTTTCTCCCCTAAACATGTTGGCCAACGTAAACTACTGTATTATCTAGTGTTCTCCCTTTTTTGTTTTAAGGAATCAAGTGTTTTTTATATCTTTTCTGTGAAAAATGAAAGATGGTTCGTTTCTATGATCACCGTCCCTCCAACTGAAATTTGTAATCCAATATGTTGTAGAATTTTCTACGGAATACGGGGGAATGTCTGCAGATGTGATAAAGAAGGCATTTAATGCGACAGAAGAGGATTTTGTCCATCTAGTGAAGCAATCATTGCCGCTTAGACCTCAGATTGCTTCGGTTGGATCGTGTTGTCTTGTAGGTGCAATCTCGGATGGTGAATTGTTTGTGGCCAATCTAGGAGACTCGAGGGCTGTTCTTGGTCGGAGAGATTTGGAGGACCCAAAGAGTACAGTGGTGGCGGAACGCTTGTCCACGGATCATAATGTCTCATGTGAGGAGGTCAGGAAGGAGGTGGAGTCACTTCATCCCGACGATTCGGCTGTTGTGGTCTATTGCCGTGGAGTATGGAGAATTAAAGGCATAATTCAGGTAGATTTTTCTTCTTATTGCTCTGTTTTTCTTGGTCCCTTTCTTGGTGTTTGATCAATCTACTGTATGTTGATCGGCTTAGATTTAGTAGTTGTCAGGAAAAAGAAAGATATATGTCTAAAATTTGTTGTTAAGTCTTTAACCATTTGCAGTTTGACTAAATGTATTGTTAAGTCTTAAAATTAAATGTTCTGTTATCTAGTTATATTCCATGCTCTTATCTTGACATATTCCTTTTGCTTTATGAAAAGAGGTTTACCTTGCATCGTATACAAAGCAAAATCAGCTGCATAGACCTCATTTATTATGGTGGCTTGTTCTGCATATTGCTTTTCCTGTGTCTCTTGCCTTTTGCTCTATGAGAGGCAACATCATAAATGGTAGTTAAGTTTGTTCTAAAGGGGTTCCCTACTCTTCCAGGAATCACATGCTCTGCCCCTTGGTGCACCGTCTCATGCAGCTGAAGTTAAGAGTAGCATGTGTTCCATGCATGAGATATACATGAAGATTTCATAAAGCAAAATGTTGTGATTCTATTGAAATTTTATTCCTCTTTACATCTTGGCCATCCGGAAGACCCTTATGGCTATAAATTCACATGATGCTCATGTGACTTCTAAGATCTTATTTTTGTTTCCTTCCATACACTTTGAGGTAGGCATGATGTTCTGTTATGGATCAAAGTGTATGTATGCCTTTTCCCGCTGTAACTTTTCCCCCCCTTCTTTTAGCATATGTCCATGTAGAAAACATTTTTTAAAGATGCTAATTTGAACATTTTACTCTTTTCAGGTGTCAAGATCTATTGGTGACGTCTATTTGAAGAAACCTGAGTTTAATAGAGACCCAATTTTGCAGCAATTTGGAAACCTTGTCCCATTGAAAAGGCCTGTTTTGTCAGCAGAGCCCTCGATCATTAAAAGAAAGCTTAAGCCACAGGACTTATTCTTGATATTTGCCTCAGATGGGCTATGGGAACATTTGAGTGATGAAACAGCAGTGCAGATAGTATTGAAGAACCCAAGAGCTGTAAGTGCCCAGACTTTTATAGACATTATTATTTTATGGCATAGTAGCAATCTTGCTTGCATTTGCCAGTTTCAAGTTTGTTTTCAGTGAAGCAGCTAGCTTGATTGAATACCTCTTTTGCAATTGATCCCACACTTTGTTGCCATTAATTCATCCTGAACTCTTGGAATGGATTGGTCAGATTTTAATTTCATGCTTGTAATTAAATTATTTCATCACCAAAGTAAACACTGTAGAAATTGAGTAGAAGTTCTGATTGAAACCCCCAATCCTGCCACAATCTATATCTGATCAAAAATCCAGTTGATTGAGTAAGAGAAACATGATTCAAAAGATCATACCAAATGTTAGAAGATTGCTCCTTGTATGTGTAGTTTTTATTTGCCATTTGTCAAAATTCCCCTTGGCAATAAGCATAACTCGCTGCTTGTGACTTGTGAAATACTTGCAGGGAATAGCCAAGAGATTGGTAGGAGCTGCCCTTGGGGAGGCTGCAAAGAAGAGGGAGTTGAGATACGCCGACATAGTGAAAATCGAGAAGGGAATTAGGCGTCATTTCCATGATGACATTACTGTGATAGTGATCTATCTTAATCATCACAAAGGCCGCCCCACCAATCGGAAATCTAAGCAAGGAACTCCCGGCGGCATTACTGCTCCTGTCGACATCTTTTCATATAATTCAAATGAAATCGTGGAAAATCCATATGATTAAGAGTTTATAGAACCCGATGGATGGTCGCATACTGACAGAATTATGAGTAGAGTTTAGATGATAATTCACATACACAACTAGGTCTGTTATGTTGAACAGAAAAGGATTTTTTGTGGTGAATACAGGAACGGTGTAGATATTGCCTAGTGGGATGCTCACAAGCACATGGCTATTGGGTTTTTCGTGTGAAGTTATGACTGCCTATTCCTTTGTTCTTTTGTTATTGATTTTACTTGGTGATCAACAGAAATCTCTCTCTCTCTCTCTCACACACACACACACATTATTTGCCAAACTCCTCCTCAAGATGGAAAATTTCGAAAATTAAGTTTTACGACTCTTAAGTGAAGTAATAACATGGACGAGGCACGGACAAAGTTTCATTTCAGCACTTTCATGCGGGAACACTGGAAATCAAAATTCAAGAAAATTGAAATAAATTAAATAACTTTAGAAATATTCATGTTTCTGGGAGGTAACTTTGACTCGACCACACAGTTTGACTCGACCGCTCAGTTTGACTCCACCAATCAGTGATGCCCTTATTTTCCAAGTGGAGCCCGCTGATTGGCCTTCTTGGGCGGTAGATAGGGTATCCATTTGTCATGTTTTTAATTGGTCCAAGGGGTTTGCACTAGATTTGTCTCTCTGATTGAACCCGACGACTGACCGGAGCTATTTGGGGTCGCTCGTGGTCAACACTTGGATGATACCCTACTCGGGGCTTACCCTGATTAGTTCATACATGGGGTCCCCTCTGTGTTCTAGTCTACGTGGGTGGGTGACTAAGGTGACAATCTTCACCAAATATCTCATCAACTGAAAAACTCCTATCAGTGTATCATATGAATGAAAATAGGGGGCAGGGTGAATCTATCTACGCGGTATCACTCCTCGTAGACTTTTTCATATCTTGTGCTAGGGAGAAATGTGCATCTGGGCGACATGCCTGCAGCGCCTGTTGGAAGAAAATTGGGCTCTTAAGCCAACATGTTAAATAGGGTCATTAACAATTTAATATACTATAATATGATCTATTTAATTTTTTTATATCATTTTTACTCTTATTTGTTTCACTTTTAAATAACTTAATGCTCATTGCACGGGTACGTTCTTATAGTATATTGAGATAACGATTCGCAAGATGATGAACTTGAAACAATCAAAGGATTAAGAAAGGGGGCTGGTGAATACCTGACTAATCCTCTCTAAAGTTCAAGTCAGTCGGTATAGGAGTCATTAACATTGTATATTTTCTAAATTCGAATTGCATACCTCAATTCAACTTTCTAAAGGGTATTTATATTTGAGTTAACAATGATTTAAAGACTTTTAAGTCTCATCTCAACATTTAAATGACTTGCACTTGTATGTATGCATAATAAATGGTATCCCATCAAATCCTCTTAAGATTGATTCTCTCAAGCGATCGAACTTTTGCTCGGAACACGTCGAGCCTTTATGCCCCTATCCCGATCATTAAATATCGATGTTCGGTGTTTAACACCTACGCCCGAGTGTTCATTGCTCGGGAATAAGTAACTCTCAGGTTTCACCGAAGACATGGAGTCGATGTCACGCTACTTAATGTCTTATAATGATGACTCTCCTCACATTTCTCGAGAACTTAGATGTGTGTTTATGATTGTAACCACTCAAGACTCTATTCAATGTGTTGTCAGTGTCATATCTCCGTTAATGCTAGACCTTGATGGGTATACTCGACTTCTCATAGATTTTAACTCTTCGACTCCTCCTCCAAGCACCCTTGCAATTCATAACGACTATAATTGTCTACGTGTCAATTCAGGGTTGTCAATCATTATGATTTTTCTATACAATTATTTCATTATTTATGATTATGTTAAATGTGATGGATTGTTCAACCACTACGTCTTCACTTCAAATTATTGTCATATTTTTTATATTATTGATAACAAATATATCAATGGCTCTCCATTTTTAGATTAAATTCATCATTTATTTTTTCTTTTTTATGCATTTCATATGACGATTTATATTTTATAATGAACATATTCAAGCAAAAAAAGATTTTTAAAAATAAAAATCTAAATCTATAAGTAACATTATTAAGATCAAAATTTAATGTATTGCCTAATTTAGTAAGAATAAAACAATTTGATTTGTTAATGTTGTTTTTGATGAATAATGTCATTATGTTTATTTTAATTGTGCAAATGCCAACAGTTTAAAGGGGCATTCAATGGAGAGAGAGAGAGAGATTGATTTTTGTGCAATAAATTAATGAAGAGAGGGGGTATGCATTCAATTAAATTTTCTAATTTATTTTGGCGGACTTTTTTCTATTATTATACCAGATTACATGTGCTAATTTATCATATTATGGGGCCTTTGAAATTGGGGGCCCTAAGCTGCTGCCCCAATGGCTTTGTCATTGGGCCGGCCCTGCATGCCTGTTAACCGAGTAAATATTAAATGCAATAATTAGGTCACATCAAATTATTATGCCAATATTATTATATAATTAACAATTCAATAGAAAAATAATAAAATTAATAAAATATAACCCATTACATGAGTGGTTATGAATATTTGTGAAACTCACTTAGAAACTTTTTCACTTATCACTAGACGACTATAGGGGTGGCTCAAGATAATTTGGAGTTAAAAACGATATTTCTAAATAAGGTCTTTTATGTTTATTGTTAATATTTTTTATTTAAAATTAATTTTTCTTATTTTTTGAGTTACAAAAGTATTAATTAAGGTTTTTTATTTAATTTTGCTATCATATCTTTTTTAATTGATAATATCGTTAATCCAGTTAATCTTTCTTGTGACATAGTTGATCTTAAGTAAGATTTTATCAATTTTAATTTTGAAAAGTTTCTTTCAACAGAAACAAACTGTTACAAGAATTGTTAATAATTTTTTATAAGCAATGCATGCATTTGGAAAAAAATCTAACTTTTTTATATAATTTAATATATTAATTGGAGTATTTTCTTTCGTTTGTAAAGCGGTATTTCGTTTTTATCTAATTTTGCCAATATTTTTTCTCTCTATTAATTTGTTTTTGGATATTTTTATCAATTGTTTTATTTAGTTGCACTCTTGTTTCTAATTTAATCCAAGTATTCATATTAGTTATATGCTCATTAGTTATTTCTTGATTTTTAAGCTTAACACCAATATTTCTCCAATCTTTTGTTCATTCATTAGCTAGTTTACTTGTAAAATAATTCATATTTAATAATTTGCAACAAACACAAAATACTTTATCCAAATCTTTTGAATATACTAGCCATCTTCTATCAAGTGTTTCCCCATTTGTTAATTTGCGAATATAATGTGTAATAGAAAAATGTCTAGAGTGTTTATCCCTAGGAAAATCTAAGTTATTATATATAATTGGACATTTTTCTACTAATAAATCTCTTAATTTTGTATTAATATTTTTTCATTGACTTGAATCATAAATATTTATATAATCATAATCAGTTGTTTCATTAAGATTTTGATTGTCTTCTATTTCATTATCTTTTATTTCACTATTTTCTTTTTCAATATTTTCTATTTCATTATCCTCTATTTTATTATCTTTTATTTCAATATTTTCTACTTCAATATTTTTTATTTCATTATCTTTTATTTTAATATTTTTTATTTCAGTATTTTTTATTTTATTCTCTTTTATTTCATTATCTACTTGTTCATTTTTAAAATTTGTATCTAAATTTTTTGTTATTTTATTTTTGTTACTAGTAACAAATTTATCAAGAGGTCCTTTTTGAGATTCTATTAGTTGATCTATTTTTTTTTTTTTAAATTTATCGTATCCACTTGGTTGTCTTTTAGGTGCCATATTATTAATATATTATAACTATAAAACAATCAAACAAACACAATATATAGTATAGTTAAAAATATATAAGAAAAATATTTAAAATTATGAAATAATAGAATCTAACTTGAATGATCTCAAATGTTAGTTTTTTGGTTCTAAACCATGTCCCTTATGTTGCAATGAAAACTCGAGTTGATGATGGAGGATGGAGTGGAGGCCGAGTCACCATCACCGAGTCAATCACCTGAGTGATCTGTGAGTTCTCTGTAGCTCTGCTGTAGCACTTGGCAAAAAAAAAAAATTTATCTGAGTAACAAGTTATGTGACTGTGAGTTCTCAAGTCATGAGGCATTGTGAGAGAGAGAAAGAAAAAAAATAAATTTATGTATAGTTGATTTGGTTGGTTTAGAAGGAGAGAGAGAGAGATAAAGTGTTAAAAAGTAGATATGATTTGACTTTTAAATTATTTTGGTGGCTTTTTGATATGATCATTCAGTTTTTTTTTTTTTTTTTACATTGTTAATTTTTTTTAGATACTTAATGTTTGGATTGAATTATAGGCCTAAAATAATTGTTGGGCTTATATTTTTATATGGTTTTTTTTTTTACATAGGTTATTTACAATATTTAAAAAATTTGGACTTTTTTTGAAATGGGGCCTAAAGCCTAGACTTTTTTACACCTATTGTTGGGCCGGCCTGGACGATTATACCACGTAATACTATTGACGTAATAACTCTCGCACCAAATATTTTGTCAGTCAAATAATGTCCCTTAATTTTTTTTATGACTAAATGTTTTTAACGAAATTCAAATCGTGACAGTCACTTCTTAGTAGATTTATTTTATTTTTATCATAAATATTATATATAATGGTTATACTGTGTCAGATGTGGTGTAATTACTTAATAAAATAATTATAAAATAGATAAAATAGAGTTTATTTTTTATTATAAAAGTGATTATGTAGTATATGACTGAGTGATTATAAATTTTTGTAAGACTCATTTATAGACTCATAAATATATTTGTATTCATATTAAAAATTAAATTACAAATATAAATGAAAGATAAATAAATTTAACCATCGGCTGTAGTGAGAGTGAGAGGTGGTGGGTGGTAGGGGTGGTGATACGAGACGGTGATGGTTGTGGTGAGTGACAATAACTGTGGTGGTGACGATGACGGTGGCGATGGCGATGACAGTGGTGGTGGCAGTGACGACAGTGATGGTGGTGGAGGCGGCGACAGTAGCGGTAATAGAGATAGTGGCGGTGGTAGTGTTAAAGGTAGTGGTGAGACGGTTTCAAACACTATATTTAAAAAAAAAATATTTATAAAAAATAATTATTATATGTACTTTTAAAAAGTCACTCCAAATACACCCTTAGGGGTTTATTTTTTCTATTAAATTTAGAGTGTTAATATTAGTCGTTAGATTAATTTAAAGTAAAACTTAAAACGATCTAATCCGCGAATAGTAAAAATTATTTTATTTATTTTTGAGTTTTAAATTATAAGTTACTTTATTATATAAATTTATTCGTTCGTAAATAATTAAACTACGAGACACTGCTCACGTGCTGCGACGATTACTCTCAATATTCCCTCTCAGTTATTTTGAGAAGCAGAGCGCCACAGGACGAATTCAAAGGAGAAAGAATACGGAATAGTCGCATTGAGGTCTCGCTACCAGACTGAGAGGGTTAGGGTTTTGAAATCCAAAATTTGAAGAGCACGACGTAGTGACAAGGCGACATGTAGTTTGGTTGCTGAATCGGTGTGGAAAGACATCGAGTCGACTCGTTCAGGTCCTTCTCTCTTTTCGATTCAACAATCATTATTTTTCACCATTCAGATATTGATTTTTCCCATTTTGCTGTGAACTGGTGGCGCTGATGGCGATGAATTGCAACCCACAGTGACCGATGATCAGAGCTCAATGTCAGTATTTATGATCTTCTCTCAATTCAATTTTATATACGATATTCATCTGTATATGTGTGTTCGGACTAATTGATGCGTTTAACACAGCTTGCATTTTTTGTTTGGTAAAAACTTGGAAAGGGCGACGAGAATAGTGGATCAAAGAGGTTTTAAGAGGATACTTGGTGAGCCCAGTGGGCGTACTATCTTTCAGGTTGATTGTTTTTCTTCAATGTATCTACACTTTTGCTTTCTCTTGTTGCCAAAATGTTTTAATCATCTCGGCTTTGCCATTCGTTCAATTGCAGATTTGGACAGGCACACCTATCGAAGGATGAAAATTTTGTTTAATATCCACGGAAAAGATTCAAACGGTGATGAACAATCAAAAATTCGTGTTTTCTTGGAATGTTTGGGAATCAACATTCCTATTTTTGTTCAACGTATGTGAAATGTTTTTGTTTCCAAACTAATTGAGAAAACCATGCATCGAAAAGAAATTTTTGATCCTTGCCCTTGATCATTTATGTAAATTATGCACAGAAACAAAGTTTGCGATAATTCAGAATTTTTCATGTTCGTCTGCATTTAGTTTTTGCCAGATTACCTTCAAATGTTCAAAAGAAGCAACAACGATTTTTTTTTTTTTACTTGCCCTTGTTAGGTGGTGGGAGAATCTAGGAGGAAGGAGGAATATTTATGCTTTCCTGAACACTACTGTGCTTGTTTTTCCTTCTTCTATGACATAGTAAGGAGAGGAGAATAGCTTTGTGTGAGCTCTGCTTTTTTGCTTGTGCAATTTCTTTTGTGCATTTACTTGATATTTGTATGATTTCATTTAGGGTCCTTAATTGTTCTTTGCTTCCTCCATCCAGTGTAAGCATCAATTAGCTGCAAGACTTGCTGTGTCGGTTGGAGCATGTGTTCATGTTAAGGTGTCTGATGATATGATGGTGTATTGACATTAGGTTTTTCTATGCAAACAGTCTGTTCTGTTTGAGATCGTATTTGAAAGGAGATCAAGGACGATTGCACCTCGAGGCTCAACTCTGAATTGGGCATCGATAATCAGCTTAGAGGCATCTCATATGCAGGACTTCTATAAGGTGTCTAGGCTTTTCCTAACACCTCATCTGCTTTAACAAAGTATGCTAGCTCCTAGCCGGAGTACCAAAAGAACAAGGCCTTCTACTCTCCTGGGTACCAGCTGTTTCTGCCTGCTCAAAATAGGAGGTGTTTGCTACATTACTTGCAACTACATTGAAACTATAAATTCTCGAAAAACTGGTCCAGAGGGTCTCATTCTTCAGATTTCATTACATCTATTGACACTGGGAGTTAAGACACTTGACCTTCAGTGAATAGTAAGGCCTAGGGAATTTTGAATGAGGTGGACTTTAAATGCATCCTTATAGGATTCACACAGACCATATATTCAAATACCAAATGCTCGAATCTCAAAGCAATTACATGACAAAAGATGTGCACATTTTAGGAAGAATGTTTAATTATGTGGATTATGGCTCTCAATCTTTCTTGAAAACAGCTTCTAAGCACTGAGTCCATCTCCTCCCATTCTGGACTATTTACTAGTTCAGACTACTCAAATTTATTATGCTGACAACCTTTCCCATGATATACAGATACTCTCAATGTGATGAGGTGATAGATTCATTTATGGCCTTCAACTCTCTTTACAATTCATAGCTTAGCTAATACCCTTGGTTCTATTGCCCATATATTGTACAACACTATGTTGCCTTGTTCATTTAGATCTATGCTTCCCCGCTTTGATTTTCTGGTTCAAATCTTGAAATCTATTTGCATATGAGATCAATTAAGGGGCAATGATATATACTTCACATCACAATTAGGAAATGAAGTAAATTTGGACCTCAACAGGCCACAAAATCAACAGAGGAACAAACAAGACAACTACCAATGGTAATGCTTATAATCTAATTCGATCATTACAGGAAACAGCAAAAGCCGAAAAATACAGTGATTCAGAAAGCAAAAGCTTCCTTCTATAATTATTCCCTTTCTTTTAACAACACAACAGAGACAAGAGAACAAACTATTCAAGATATTAACACAGACCAAGGCCACCCAGAAAGATATCAAACTATGGAACAATCTTGTAAGCTTTCACCTTATCAATCCAAGAAATGAATGCGTTTTTCGTGTTCCTAAACCCCAAAAATCCATGCTCCTTGCTCTTGTTCATAGTATCCAACACGCCCCCACCACCAAGTATAATATCAACAAACCACCAAACTCCAACATCTTCCAATTTAGTAGGCAACAAACCCTTCTCTCTCACAATCTCCTCCCACACAGGCCCCTTACCCTTCATCATCTCCACCAAACTCAATTTCTCTCCCTCCTCAAATTCAGCACATTCCACCTCAAACTGCTCAGCCAACACCTTCCAAAAATGCTTCCACTTGAACACATCTCCATTGCTAATATTAAAGGCTTCATTCTTCGCATAGGGATCAACCGCTGCCCATATCTCTTGCTCGGCGATCAAGTCTGCGTCCGAGCAATCCGAATAGTCATCCCACGCCGCCTTACAACCGGGAAACCTCAGAGGAACACCCTCATGCTTACATATAGCAGCATAAACACAAAGGGTCCCAACAATATTCATCAAACTATATGGAGAAAACCCAAATATCGTTCCTGGCCTATGAACAGACCAAGTTAGTCCTTCCTTCTTTTCCACCTCCTCAAACAAAATATCCTCAAGCGCGTAGTAAAAATTTGGAGCATCAAGCCTAGGTAAATCCTCGTGAAACGGAGGATCATGGGCAATTTTCCCGGACAATTCAAAAGAACCCCAGTAGTGTTTTTTTCCAGTTTGAAGACAGATATGCTGCAAATTTGGGGCACTGGGTATGATTGATTGGAGAACATTTCTGAACATTTTTCCATTGATTTCACAATTTTCGGCTTCGGTGGATCTACTAGCCCATGTGACGTAGAAAACATGGGTTACATCGTGGAGATTTGAGAGCTTCGATCGGGTGTCTTCTGGGTCTGAGATGTCGCACTGGATGTATTCGACTGGGTGGTCAGCGTTCCAGGAGGGCCTTGGCCGGCGAGCGACGCCGTAGACCTTCCATGGGCCGCCCGGGGTGTCTGCGAGTGGGAGGATCTCAGCGAGGCTGTTTCCGACGATGCCGGTGACCCCGATAATTAGGGCCACGCTTTGGTACTTTGGTGGTGCATCGTCGTCTTCGAATTTTTTCTACAAAGAGGTAATTTGGGACAGATAGTTTAGATTCAGATTGTGGAGTATAACAAAAAATGTGTGTGCAGTGTGCAGGGTGTGTGAATCTAGAGAGAGAGAGGAGGAGGGGTGAGGGGAGGAAGAGGAATTGCTTGCCTTCGCGGCGCCGATAGCTCCAGCCCACCACCAGCTCATTTTACTTGAGTGATTGGTTCAGAGAGAGAGAGAGAGAGAGAATGAAAATTGTGTAGCTAAGCCAGGAGTAGGAGTAGGGGTGGGGGATGTATTTATGATTTATTGGTGGGCGGAGGTCTGGTGCATGGACGCGAGGAATGGCCCTCACTCATGTTTTGTTACATAGAATACTTTTCAAAATTAGCCCACAACTTTAAATTATCTTATTAGAGCCTTGTTGCGTAATGATCATATGTTACGAGAGACCCATTTAAATATAATACCCAATCGAGCTCATAACGTGTAACTTATTATTGTTAAGAAAAATTGAAGTACAATCATCAGAGAATATCTAAATCCTTAGATGAATTAGATTCTGAAGAGTTTTATTACTTGGCGTAAATTTGTAAGAGTCAATTCATTTTTTTTTTTACATGACAAGAAACTTCTCTAAAACAGGATTGAGTTAGACTAAGTTTTTAGAAAATAAACTTTGAATATTTGCAATAACTTATTAACTACAAGTTTAGTTAAGCTTGAAATATATTAACAAGAATTAAATTTAAGACGTTTAAATTTATTATTCATATTAGATTAATCACACATTGAGCTGTTTGTATGGATTAACATAATTCGTTTTTTATCGGTACAATAAATTAGGTAAAATAAAATTCACAATCAAACCAACAGAAATAGTGTATTTTGATTGATATATTTGGTTCAAATAATATTAAAGAACTAAATAAAGAAATTATATAATTGCAACAATAGTCAAAAACATGAGTTTGAAGCTTGGATGGTGGGTGGGGTGGGGTGAGGTGGGGCCGGGGGGGGGGGGGGGGCGGTTTAGGATCTTTTTGGGCTGTTACGAAAACTCCAATTAAAATTTGACACCATGTAATGTAATGCAAGTTTTGATACAATAAGCTGTTTTTTTCTTCTGTTTTCTACGTCACTGCTGAGATTATTTGTGATTGGACAGAATCAACGCTGCCCGTTATTTTCGGACCACTTTTGTCGTCCCTATGTAGGTGTCCATCGGCTGGACTGAGTTAGGCCTGTGATTGTGATTTTTTTTTGGGCAGATCTAGATTGTCGAGGTCTAAACTCTTAGCCAAGTGAGATATGTGGCGGATAAGATTGGCTGGATTTTGAGTAAGGGTAGGCTATCCGTACCCAACCCTCGAGCTTAGTGGGCGGACATGTGAGTGAGTTTATTAGACGGGTCTGTTCGTGAATTTTTTTATATATAATTTTATTTAAAAATAATAAATATTTTTATAATTTAATATTTGTATAAATTATATTTTTAAATTAAAAATAGAGTCAAAATAGATACAAATAAAATAATGAGTAATTTTATTTTTAATTAGGAGATAAACTATATTCAATAGAATGAATACATTATAACTAGGTTGACACTTACTTATTTATCTATCATTTGTATTACTCTATCCTTTAAAATTTGTATACTTAGTACATGAAATATAAAATAATACATTATTTATAGTATTTAAATTTTTAAAACTTCAAATTTTGACATTGAGAGACTTATTTTAAAGTTTTAAATTTAATGGTTTAAAAAGTATAACTTTTTTTCAAATGAAATGTGGCGCGTGCTATGTGGGCAGGTAGGGATTGGCAGGTGGGTTTTTGGGCCGGGTTTCAGGCCTGATTATGAATTTGGGGGCAAACTCAAACTTTTTTTTTTAAAGATATTGAACTTGAACTTAGGTGGACTAATTATCGAACCTATTAAGTTTCAGACTTATTTTTTCAAGTTAGATAACGAAATATGTGGATAACCCAACCTACGAAGACCCCAATAGCTCTGTGTTCTAGTCTACGTGGCTGGGCGGGTGGGTGACTAAGGCGACAATGTTCACCAACTATCTCATAAACTGAAAAAATGATGCCAGTGGATTATATGAAAATAGGTGGCAGGGTGACTCTACCTACATGGTTTCACTCCTTGCACCCTTCTTCAATATCTTGTGCTAGGGAGGAAGGTGCATCGGCCGACATGCGTGTTAATCGATTAAATATTGGGTGTAACAATTATTTTACATTAATGTTATTACATAACATAATTATTCAATAAAAAAATAGGTAAAATATAATTCAATTTTTAACATGAAAGTGGTTATATATTAAATAGGTGGGTGATTATAAATTTTTGTGAAATTCACTTATTAGTAGACGATAATATCAAGTAATACTATTGACTTAGAGTGTGTTTAAATTGACTTAAAAAAAATATTTTTTAAAATTTTTGACTTATCATAAGTGCTTTTCATAAAAAAACAGTGTTTGGATTAACTTATGAAAAGTACTTTTAAAAAAGTAAAAACTATTTTACCACTTAAATAAGTCCAAAAATAAAAGTTAAAAAATATAACTTTTACTTATTTAAAATCACTTCAGCCCAACCACTTCTACCTCATTTTTTTTTTCTCCCAACCCATTGACTCTATCACCTGATAACTCATCTCCTCCCATGGGTCTATCAACAGCCCTTCTTCTATTTTGGTGACCGACTACAAGGAAGATGCCGGAGAGGTAGGCGATCACCGGGGATATCTCGACGACTCCCTTCTCTCTCCATTCTATCTCTGCCTCGCGCTAGCCTTGTGTATCAGAGGATTCAAATTCAAGTATGATGAGTGTGAGTTTGTTCTTGTGATTATTCTTATTTGTGACAACTCTGTTTCAGATTCAACTCGATTTCTTTGGGTGATCTTTACTTCACTTGAACCTTATGATTGCTTGCTTTTTAGTGGGATATTGGGGTATGCGGTATGCCCTTAGATTGAGTTGAATGGTCTAGGCTACATAGTTAGATTTGATGCTTAGATGTATTAGCTTAGTTCTTGTTTATGCACTCGATCTTCCCTAATTCTTTGGACAGATATGTAACATCTTTCATGTCTGTTACCTGTTTGTTAATATACCCAAACGAAATTCATAATAAAAGTTTTTGATTCTGACGAAGCCGTTTACTTAAAAAGGTGTTGATGAATGCTGAAGGTCGTATGGTAGCTGCTACTTCGATTTTTTATGGGGAAGGCTCTAAAATGCAGGCTGAGTGTAAGGCTTTGTTTGATGGCATGAATTTGGTGTTGCAGTATGGGCTAGGGGATTACCCTTTACTGATTGAATCTGATTCTTAGATTCTGGTGATGATGGTTCATGGGAAAGCTGTGATTCCATGGAAATGTGGAAGGATTTTAAGAGATAGAGTTACTACAATCACTACAGGTCTCTTACTCTGGTGCAGTGAGGATACACATTTGGTGGATAGCTTGGAAATTCCCAACTAATGGTTTGATTAAGCTTAATGTGGATGGTGCTTCAAAAGGGAATCCTGGGGAGTCAGGAGGAGGGGCTATTCTTCGGAATTCTATGGGTTAATTGATACTGGCAGGTTCTTTTTATTATTGTAGTTACGCAAATATGGAGGCAGAGATGCAGGCTCTGTTGAGTGGTCTGCAACTATTGCAAGAATATGGTCTTCAAATCTATGAGTTGATCATTGAGACAGACTCAAAAATGTTAGTTGATATGGTCAATAAAAGGATTAAGGTGTCTTGGAAGTGCTAGATTCTTTTAGAACATATTTTTTCTGCCCTTCAAAATTTCACATTTCAAATTTAGTATAGTTATCGTGAGGGCAACATGGTGGCTAATGCTTTGGCAAACAAGGGGGTAACAGATAAACAATCTTTCACTTATGACTCTTTAGACAGTCTTCCTACACAAATTAGGCTACTTATGATGTAGGATTTAAGACAAATTAGAAATCTAAGGAAAATAATATTCTCTGGATGATACTTAACTTTCAGTCTCCGTTGATGGTTCTTCAGCTTTTGCAAAAAAGATTGGAGGATTCTTTTTGGATTTCACATTGGGATCCCTCTCATCCTTCGGTAACATTGCTGGATTCTTTTGCATCGACCTGCCTATTTCAATGAAGACCTGCTGCATACTAGTCTGGCTTTCGGGGCTCCTCATTGTTCTATGTAGGGGTGGCAATCGAGTCGTGTTGTGTCGGATTCGTGTCGTGTCGAACATTAGTCAACCCATACCCAATCCATTTAACTATTCGTGTCGTGTCGAGTTGACCTGTTTATTTTCGTGTCGTGTTCGTGTTCATATTCATGTTGACCTACATAAACTTTGAATAAAAAATTTGACGCTAAGATTTTATTTTCACTTAATTGAATCTCTCCTCATACTTTTTCTACAAATTAAAAATTAACTTAATAATAATAATAATAACAATAATGAGTAATAATATTTTTTTTATACAATAATTATGTCAGTACTTGATAAACAGTTACAAATAATTAATATTTTATTTATATAATACTAATTAAATATGTTAATCATACATCATACAACCAAATTAAACATCAGAAGTAATAGAAAAAAAAGTCATCAAAACATGAAAACTCATACATGTAATGAAAAGGTCAGATCAATCTCCTTCGAATTAAAAATTTCGTGTTGACGGGTTAATTCGTCTTAAACAGGTTGAACCTGAACACAACCCATTAACACTTCGTGTTGGCGGGTCGTGTCATAGCGGGTCGTGTCAAAAAATTAGTCAATCCAAACTCATTTATTCGTATCGTGTTTCGTATCGGGTATCGTGTCGTATCAAAAATTGTCACCCCTAGTTCTATGTCTATTCCTCTACAACCCAGCTGGATACTTCTATTTTGGAAGTCTTCGTCTCTATGGTGGTCTTTGCTGGCTATTCATCTTTTATCCACGGTACCACCATGGACTCGCATGAAACTTTCTTCATGGTACTGTCCACAGTATTGTTCATGATACTGTTCACTGCACTATTCACGCTGCAAAGCCATTTTATGAACCATCCGGAGAGGCAAAATAAAGCAAACCTGAAGATAATTTTGATCCAAATCTCTGTGAATTCCATGCACTTGGACATCAAAGCAAGGATTCTATGAAATATTCTTAACAACAGTGGATAGAAAAATTGTATTCTGGAAGTT